AAAAAAAAATTTCGGACTTTATCTTATCTTCATGGTGAAAATGGCTACCGAATGCTATTTTTGTGTGAAAATTTTCGATTTTGTATTTTCCATTTTTAACTTTATTATGCTATAACTTTTTGAAAAATGTATGAATCATTACAATTTTTTTATGAGAAGTAGTATTTATATAGATCTTTCATTCGACATACTGTTTTTTTAAATCGGACCATTTCCCTAAATACAGGGGGGATTCAAAACATAAAAATACATATAGAAAGTATAACTTTTTCAACGTAACTTTTGAAAGTGTTCCGGAAGGTCTGACACTTTTATATATATCTTAAATTAAAGCTAATGTAATATACTTTATAATGGTAAAAAAAAATTTCGGACTTTATTTTATCTTCATGGTGAAAACAGACATTAAACTTAATAAAAAAAATACGATTTTTGTAAAAAAATTCTTTTTTATATTTTTAACTTTATAATGCTATAACTTCTCGAAAGATGTATGGATCAATATAATTCTTTTTTTTGTAGATGCATGATGTCTTTACCTATCATTTGGTATATTTTTTTTATAAATCTGACTTTTGACCTGCCTACAGGGGGGGATTCAAAATGACAACTTTTTCACAAAAAATTGACTTTTTCAACTTAAATTTTGAAAGTGTTCCGGAAAGTCTGACACTTTTATATATATATTAAATTAAAGCTAATGTAATTTACTTTATTATGCGAAAAAAAAATTTCGAACTTTATTTTATCTTCACGGTGAAAATGGCTACCGAATGCTATTATTGTGTGAAAATTCTCGATTTTATTTTTTAAATTTTTAACTTTATAATGCTATGACATATTGAAAAGTGTATGGATCAACATTATTTTTTTATGAGAAATAATATTTTTTAATAATCCCTTTTTCATTCTACATACTTTATCTTAATTAGGATATTAATAATGAACTAGCAGATAATGTAGCTTTTGGAATAGTCCACCAATTTTTAAAAATTAAACACTATCTAAAGATTTGCATCGAAGCGTTTTTTTTTGATAGTGATTTTAATCACTGTCAGATATCATTATACTTAATCCATCTATACCACGTCACCACTGTGCCGCGACCCCCCTGTGCTGGGTTTTTTTTCTTGTCTTGAACAATAACTATTTATTAGAATAGTTATTTTGTTCGTATAATATAACATTATCATAAACCCTTGATAAAATTTCTCTTTCAATTTTGATTGAGGTTTTTCTTTGAGTGCAAGACACAAGTACTCTGAAATGTCGAGGAAAAGAGTATATAGGTTTGAAAAGGAATAAACAAAGACTTTACTTCAAACAGTAAGCCGGACAGCGACAACCGAGTACTGAGACTGATGAATGACACAAGACACTTGAGTCGACTGACCACGATGGTCAGGTCTATTGGGTTTTTATAATAATTATTATAATTATAATTAGAACTATTGCCGATTTGGCAATAAATATTATTTGTTAATTCATCAGTCTCAGGCAGCGGATGTGCTGTCTGTATTTTATTAAAATAATTCTCATGATTATGAAAACGTGACACCATCACACTATCAATATTATGGTTGTAACGGGTAATGGGAAATCAGGGTTCGATTCCGGGGAGGGAGTCTGAGAAACGGCTACCACAACCAAGGAAAGCAACAGGCGCGTAAATTATCCACTCCCGGAACATGGAGGTAGTGACGAAAAATGACGATACGGGAATCATCTTTTGTAATCGGAATGCATACACTCTATATCTCTTAATGAGAGTAAAGCATGTTAATATATATTTTTAATAGTACTTAGAATAAATATATATACATGTAAAGCGACTTAAGTACGTAAACGTATCATGGACTAGGTATAGCCTTGTTTTAAGGACGGGGGAACGTTATACCTAAGGTATAAAATATAAAATTATACAGGAAAATATTGTTGTCGGCGAGTAGTGAGCGGAGTGGGGTGAATGCGTTACGACCGTCTAGTCTCAAGGCCATAGACGATGGGATACGCCAGATAATAACACGTGGCGAGTGAAGATTTACACACAACAAACAAACAAACAAACATACATGTGAAACTAATATAATCGTGTTAAAAATTGTATATTATACGAGTGTTCAGTAAGTAGGAAACAATGAGCATAATAAAAACCTGTTTTCTTACTTACTGAACACTATACAGGGTGATTGACTAACTATGCCTCACGAATTTTCTTTAAAAATATTAGTATTATCGTATATGTAATTATTTTATTTGTTATAAATCTTTGTTGAGCTACTTGACAAGAAAAATGAAGATTCAATCTTCATCCCTCAACCCTTAAATCAATATCAACTTTAGTTTTTCAAATAGCAACCCAGTTTTTTTTTTTATTAATCTTGTTAATAATAAAAAAAAAAATTTTCTCAAAAAAAAAAAAAATCAATTTTAATAAATTCTAAGCGAGATATTACTATTTAAAGTTTAGGGGATTTAACAAATAAAACAGTAGTCGGGTAAATATAGTATCGTTATTATTTAGTGTACCGATAAGAAGTGGTAGCGCTTATCGATTTACGATCCATAACGTTCTCGTCTGTAATGATTTTTTCTTAATAAACCCTAAACTTTAGAGAGCCGTGGAGTGCTTAATATTTAATAAAATAAAATATTTTTTTTACAAAACATTTTTTTTTTATTAAACTAAATCTAATGGTATAAAAAAAAATAGTGTTGCCATTTGAAAATATGAAGTTGACACTATTTTTAAGCAAAAGGGATGGTGGTAAAAATTTAAATTTTCTCGTGAAACATCTCATCAAAGATCCATAATGATTAAAAAAAAAAATTGTTTATAACTCTTATATTTTCAGAGATAATTCGTGAGGCATAGTTAGTCAATCACCCTGTATATAGTTTTCTATTGTCTGTTCGATACTTAGATACGTCATATATATATAAACCTATATAAAATAAAATTTAAACGTATACATTCATGAAGGGACGATTTAAAATAGAATCCCTGTTTTTTAACTTACTAAACACCCCAAATTAAGATCATATTACTAATAACTACCTAAAGTTCCATTTATCAGACTGAAACCTGGGTCTTTTGACCCTAGTACAACCCTAAAAAGTATTTCATTAGACATTGTGTGGTAACAGTTAATGATATGGTATTTTACAAACACTGGTTTTATGGGATGCATGGGGTCAGAACAACTTCCTCCTTCATAAGAAATCATTGAAAATATTACTGCTATATCAGTAAGGACATTTTTGGAATAGTTTTTAGAATAGTTTAGAATAGTCAAATTTTAATATTACTGCTATAACAGTAATATATGATTTTGTCCATCAACGTGTTAATAAACATTATGACTCGGCCTTTTAAGTATAATCCTAAATTAATACTAATACAGACTAAATGTACCCATTATTATAATATATCATTTGTGTGTTCGATATTTCTAATTATATAAAAAATACTACTTTAATAGTTTATCATATTAAACATTATTAGAGTCAATAATCAGCGCTTTTACTGTGTTTATAATAAGTATTTTCGATATCATATAAAAAGTATTGGCTTACCTTATTGTTGAAAGCCCGTTCCTTAGAATTCATTGGCCGGCACCTCGTAATCACTTTTACGTTTTCTGACGTCATTATGCTTAAAAAGATAATTAAAACATTATCTTTATTAATTAATAATTTTTACGTAAAATTAAATTAATTTCACATTATTTCTTTTTGATATAGATAATTACTAAATTTAATTAAAAATTTTCAAACTGAGGATATTGTGAGAGTTAAGTTACCAAAAAAAAAAAAAAAAAGTGTTCCCTAAGATAAGATTTATTTAAAACAATTATAATTTTAAGTTCTCTACTTTATCTACTTAAATTCTATATTTCTAAATCTATATTATTTACAAAATATTTATGTTGTTAAATGACAATATTTCTATCTTACAATTAATTAATATTAAGCACAAATGAAAACTTATATAATTAGTTATAGAAATGAATGTTGAAGGAAGAAGAGGTAGAAGAAAACCAAAAAAGAGATGGAAGGATGTAATTAAATGCGATATGAGGACGTCTGATGTGAGCGTAGAAGATTTGGGTGATCGTGTCAATTGAAAGTTTAGTATAAGGGTGGCTGAGTAGTTGGAATTAAGGCGAGGAAAAAGAAGAAGAATAAAGAATTTAAAAATATAAAATATAATTTGTAACTTATAAAATCAGTAGAGCCCATGGACACCATTTTTATCTGAAGCTGTTAAGTTTTATATACAATTACAAAATCTATTTAATATATATTATACCATATCAATGTATTCACAGAATATAAAATTAATAACATACCTTTTATAAATTTCCAAAAAAAGTTTAGGAAGAAAGTATCATAATGTGTACTAGTATTAATTAATTATAACTTGTTAATAATTAAAATCATCATTATGAAATGCTTTTACTTAAATTTTTTAAATTTCTATTGAGGATTATTAGATTGTTGGTTCAACCCAATAGAATGTAATATCTTATAGGAAAATGATGTATTAACATTTTTTTCCTTCACTTTTAATCAGGTTGCATATTTGTCAGGAAAGTACATTGTCAGTACATTTTAATGTTTGATTTAAAACAAATTTGTTTTAGATTGCTTCTATTTTGAAATTTTTTTTTCTATTTAGAATGTTTTTAAATATTCCATATTTTTACCAAGACTACATATTTTAGGTTTTTACAAAATATTTTTAATAATTTGTTGTTATAAAAAATTATTACTTCCTTCAAAATATTTTGATAATTTTTTATATCAGATATTTTAAATAAAATAAGCAAGCTACATAATAATTATAATTTGCTAGAGTTGACACTGCATACTTATTAATACTATTGTACATAATAAATTTGTTAAATAAATAAATAATTTTATGTGTAATAAGGTTTATGTACGAGAATCCATAGAAGAACATTCTAAAGAAAACTCAAAGAGTCCAAAAAAGAGTCATGATGATCATTTAGCATCTATACTTACAATGCAAAGTTTATCTAATCTTGTTCAGTCCGGGTCAATACAAATAGTTAATGATGTGAATGGTAGATACCAAGAATACTGTAAATATGATATGCAGGTTTGTGACATGATTCCATGTTATTTTAATTATGTTAAATTTCTTATTACTATTGATAGCAAGCTATTTCAAGTACAACACCAGGAGTTGAGCCTATGAAATATAACACATCAGCTAATCATAACCAGTTAACTCAAGGTGATTCCTCTAATGATGAAAATGAAGGTAGAGAAAATGTTCCAACTATTTATCCCGTTTCTGTAAGTATAATGATAAAATTAATATTATTTACATCAGCAACATAATTTAATGAGAATGTCTTAAAGGCTAATATGAAAATATATGTGATTGCATGTATAATATATTGATTTAATTTAATTGAAGCACATGTACTATATTCTCTACAAAATATTAATGTTGTTAAATGACAATATTTCTATCTTACAATTAATTAATATTAAGCAAAAATTAAAACTTATTTAATTAGTTGTAAAAACAAATATTTATATATAAATATAAATTGAGCTTTTTTAAATTGTACATCATTTTTTTAGTTGATTTAAAGAATCTTTATTTTTTATAATATAAGTTTTGATTATTATTATATGAGGAGTAATAGAAGGTTTTCGTGTAAGAGTAGGAGTGCACCAAGGTTCTGCTTTCAGCCCTTACTTATTCTCTATAGTGATAGATGAAATTACTAGAGAAATACAAGAAGAGGTGCCGTGGTGCATGTTGTTTGCTGACGATATAGTGTTAATAGGAGAAAATAGGGAGGAAATTAATCAAAGGCTAGAGGTGTTGAAAAAAAGGGTTTAAGAATAAGTAGGAGTAAGACAGAGTATATAAAGTACGAGTTTGATAAAGGAGAACACAAGGTAGGTGAAATAAGGAGACCAGCGACAGTAGGCGAGGATGTGATTGGAGAGGTGGAAAGTTTTAAGTACTTAGAGTCAGTTGTGCAAAAGAGCGGTGGTATTGAAGAGGATGTAAAACACAGAATTAAGTGCGGGTGGTTGATGTGGAAAGAAACGTCTGGCGTGTCTTATGCGATAAAAGAATTCCAATGAGTCTGAAAGATAAATTCTACAGGACTGCAGTGAGGCCAGCTATGAAGTATGGTTCAGAGTGTTGGGCGGTTGATAAGAAAGTAGAGCAGAGAATGTGTGTAGCAGAGATGAGAATGCTTAGATGGATGAGTGGAGTGACTAAAGAAGACAGGATAAGAAATGAGCATATAGAAAGGAGTATAGGTGTAACGTCAATCGTGGATAAGATAAGAAAAAATAGACCTAGATGGTTTGGTCATGTTATGATGAGAGAGGAATCAGAAACTGTAAGAACAGTTATAGAAATTAATGTTGAAAGAAGAAGAAGTAGAGGAAGATTAAAAAAAGAGATGGAGAGCTGTTATTGAATGCGATATGAGGACAGCTGATGTGAGCGTAGAGGATGTGAGAGATCGTGTCAAGTGGAAATTTAGGATAAGGGTGGCCGACCCCAAGTATATTTTTATATACTTATATACTTATATGTTTGATACACATTTATCATAGAGGTAACGAAATATACAACTACTTTATAATTTTTTATAATACAAAATATTGAATATCAATTTCATACTAAATTTTATTTTTATAATATGTATTTTACTTTTATATCATAAAACTAGTAATCAGGATATAACTAAGGAAAGAGGAGTTGATGTTGTTTTTGGTATAATCCAACAATTCCTTCTAAAAATTAAATACTACATAATGATCGAAGCGTTTTTTATGATAGTGATTTTATTGACTGTCAGATATCTATACTTGTTCAAACTATATGATGTCTCCACTGTGCTGGATTTTTATTATTAAAAACAAATTAAAAAGTATATAACTTTAACATAGTCTAAGAATGCATAAAAAGTAAAGTAAACAAAATATTTAGTACATTTTAAGTTATTAGATTTGTCAAAACATCGTGGATAACTGTGTATACAATTAAAATATTTATTTATTGAAATAATTGAATATCATTATAAGTTGTAGACCAAATGACGTTTTTATTATATTAAATGTTTACATATAAGGTAAAAGTCGAACAGCCCTACTCTTATGATATTATTTCATTGTTAGATTAATTTTTTAAATAATTGTACATCAGTATATATGTCGGAAAGAAACCAATTCTGATAAATGGCTATATCAGTAAACATGAAATATTGTTTTAAATATTTGCACAGCCGTAATTATATTTATTTTATTATTTTTGTTTTAGGATATTTCTAGTCCCAAGAAAGAGGATTCAGAAATAAGTGCTCATTCTTTAACATATGTTACACCATTAACTGTAGAACCTGAAATGCTTCATTTTCAGTTTAATAAATCAGAGTAAGACAATAATATTCAATAATAATTAATATAAATTAAGCTCTAGGGAAATATATCGTAAAATACAGGGTTTAATTAGACAGCTATTTTTCTTAATTTTCAGCATACTAAAAATTCTTTGAACATAAAATTTATGTAGAATTTACCATTTGTGATAAAAATATCATAACAATCAATTTTTTTACATTAGAATTTGTCAAATTATAATTTTTTGTCATTTGGCGAGTAACATTTAATAGAAACTCTCTGATTTTAAAAGATTCTTACAAGGCAAGGTGTGGTCTACTAATTTTTTTTTTGATTAGAAACTATTTGTACTTATAAATATAATATTTAATAATGTTATTTATTTAAATCAAATAAGCATTATAGAACATTCCATTTTCCTTATAATTTATTTTAACAACGATGGTTTATGAGAGGAAATAGACTTAGATGGTTTGGTTATGTTATGAGAAGAGAGCAATTGGAAGCTGTAAGAACAGTTATAGAAATGAATGTTGAAGGAAGAAGAGGTAGGAGAAACCATTAAAGAGATGGATGGATGTAATTAAATGCGATATGAGGACGGCTGATGTGGGTGATCGTGTCAAGTGGATATTTAGAGTAAAGGTGGCCGACCCCAAGTAGATGGTATTAAGGCGAGGAAAAAGAAGATTTTAATAACAATGGTTTATGAGGTATTAAACAAAAAATACTAGTAATAATGGAAGAAATATTAATATTTATTCCTTAACTTAATACTAAAAAATAATTGATGGGTTCTCATTGGCCATACGTACTAAATGAGGAATAGAAGAAGTATATTGATAATTAGTTGAAAATAGGAGTATAAAGATGGAATATGTAATGAAACAAGACTTATAAAAAAATTTCAGATATTAAAGAAGAGGAGTCAATAATGCCAGAATAAATAAATACATTTTTAATGAAAAAATAATAATTGGCACAAATGTCAGCTAAATAGTTTAAATAAAAAACGAGATCTTTAGGAAAACATTAAATATTTAAAAAATAATCTGCTAAATAGAAAAATTATGCTGCATAATAATAATATGTTGTGTTATGTTTATACATAACAATTCTTAATAATTTTTTTATATAATTTACAATAATATAATTAAATGCATGTTATAATTATTGTTAGTAAATTTCACAATAATCCAGAACTACACACAAAATATTGAATGTTAAATATTATTGTATTTATAAATTTACTTTGGTAATATTGAATTTGAAATTCATAAAAAAAAAAAAATTTTAATTAGTTGTGCTGGAACCAAGAAGCAGGGAAGGAAGTTGAACTCAGTATAAGTTTATGAAGATAAAAGTATCACTTTCCTCCCTTTCTTAATTGAACAAAAGAAAAAAAAAATAGTCAAATAAAAATTATTATTATTTTTAAAGATTTGGGTTAAGTTTATTATCAATTTCAAATTGATAATAAATTTGTGATTATCCTATAGTATTATGTTGATTATTATATTATCTTAGAAAATTTTAGTATGTTAAATTGCTTCCAAGTGTTTTCAGTGATTAAATTAAATTTGCTACCGAATGCTATTTTTGTGTGAAAATTCTCGATTTTGTATTTTACATTTTTAACTTTATTATGCTATAACTTTTTGAAAAATGTATGGATTAACACAATTTTTTTATGAGAAATAATATTTTTTAATAATCCCTTTTTCATTTGACATACTTTATATTAATTAGGATATTAAATAAGGAACTAGCAGATNTTTTTAACTTAGCTTAGCTTAGCAAGAGATTCTATTTTCAGTCATAAAATATTTGCCCCTTCAATCATGTAAAAAATAGTTCTAGTGCTTCTGTTTATAACCTTCCGTAATATAAATGGTATGTGTAAAACAATTAATCTATTTACTGTGCCTTTGGTATTTTTTTTTTTTATACTCAAATAAATAGTATTTTTTAGTTGCACATTTATTAAATATTTATTTAACTTGAAAATAATTAAACTAGAGTATGAAAAATAGTTAAAACAATGCCCTGGGTTTTTATTAATATTTTAATTATGTTAATTATTATATAATATTTTATTAGGGTTATTTTATTTTCATATAGGAGTACAGATCCAGATTCTGATTTAGAAAATTGTGAAAAAAATGATGTCCCCGATGATGAAAAGTATATGAATGGGTTTTTAACTGATGAAAGAGCTCTTGCATCATGTACTGCTTGTGGCAAAGTATTAGAAAATGAAGAAGAAATTGTAATGCATAGTCAAATGTGCAAAGCAATGGTGAATAATAGAAACATTTATAATTTACCTGTTAAAAGTACCAGAGACGCCATGCCACCTAGGTTTCCATGTGATGTTTGTGAAAAAAAATTTAAAAGAAAAGAACACTTAATTCAGCATAGAAAACTACATACTGGTAATTTTTTTTTACATGAAATTAGGATATATATAATGTTAAAACTTAATTGACACATTTTTTTTTAGGAGAACGACCTTACAGTTGTGAAACTTGTAGTAAATCATTCAGTCGCAAAGAACATCTTATGAGGCATATGCTAAGTCATACTGGTCAGAGATTGTATGGTTGTGACTTATGTCATAAACATTTCAGTCGTAAAGATAATTTACATAAACATAGAACAACACACGGTGTGACAGGACCCCTTGTTTGTGAAATATGTGGTTAGTTCTTAAAAATATTTAAGTTTCTAATACTACTGAAATAAAATTAAAATGTGATTTGTTTTTTCAATTAAAGGAAAGTCATTTATTGTTAAACACTATTATGATATGCACATGGCTACTCATAATGATATTGAAGACAGTCAATTGCCATATAGTTGTGATATATGCAAAAAAAGATTTGCAACAAGTCAATTTTTGGCTACTCATAGGTTTAGACATCGAACTAGGAATAATTCTACAAATAGTCAAAAACAAATGTCTAATTCTGTTATAAGTGTAAATCAAAATGAAGTAAGATATTATTAAGTTTTTAAAGTTTAAAAATATATTAATAGTTTTAGAAGGACAGTGTGGCTGAGTTGGAAACACAGCAGTGGCTGAGTTGGAAACACAGCAGTGGCTGAAGGGCACTGTCTCAGGTTTCAGACTTGATTATGGGTGGCTCTATTGTGTAAGAAATCAGTTCAATAACTAAAGTTGCTATCTCTCCCTCTTACTCATTGGCGACAAACTAATCTGTCCTGAAAAATACATGGTCAAAAAATGTCTTCTTAGGGGGAGTCCACTGTGGCCCTTAATGAGCAAAAACTTAAAAGTATTAATAAAAATAATAAAAAATAACAAATTTCACAAATATTTAATTGTAATAGTCACTTAAAAATTCTTGATAAAAAACTAATTTATCATTGATCACTAAATTTTTTCTATTAGAACAATTTTGAAAAATTTCTATATTTTTGATTAGTATTATTTATTTTCAATATATAAGAAAATGGGTATTTGTTAGGTCTATTCCTTATCCCTTATAAGGGCCCAGATTTTTTTTTTATGGAAACATATATTTAACTGCCTTCTATAATATAAAATTATTTAATTAAAGAAATTAATGTTTGAAAATATATTGTAAACCCAGTATTTTGCATGTTGTTAACACTTTAATATATAGACTATAGGCAAAATTTTTTACTTTGAACGTATATTTAGTGACAAATTGGCTTAATACTTTTAACCTTTACTTAGATATTTCACTAATAGTAAGAATCCTTTTCATACTTAATCTATTGTTTTTTATTTAATTTTAATAATTTAAATTTATATGCCTCTATTCAAAATTTCAAATATTACAGAGAAAAGTTTTTCTAAATAAATATTTAAACATTATTTGCAATACATTAAAGTATTCTCAGTCTAAATTCTATGTTTAGGCGATCATTTTTTTTTTTTTTTTTGGAAAAGTAAGATCTAGTTCTATTTTAATAACATGGCAGGTGTTAAACCAAAAATACTAAAAAAAATATTAATGGTTTTTCGTTGGCAATTTGCATTAAGCAAGAAATGGAAAAAGTATATTGATAATTAATTGAAAATTGAGGAATAAAGAAGGAATGTGTTCTGAAAAGAGAGGACTTGTAAAAAAAATTCAGATAATAGAGGGATAATACAATACAGATTGTATAATACTTTTTTTGTAAATATGAACTGCGTATTTTACGGGTGGATAATGAGTGCCCATAGACATAATATAAATAGTACTATAGCAGTGTTATGCAAATAATAAAATATGATTAATGTAAGTTGTGAAACAATATATATATTTTTTTTTTTATGAAAAGTATTTTATATTTTTATGTTCAAAATATCATAAATAAGTATTTAAATACTTAACATATACGGTACTTAATTATTTGTTTTCATAAAATAGTAAAATTTTATTTTTAGGTTATTGAACAGCAACAAAATCAAATCTCAACTAACTCATATCAAGTTCCTTATATTGATAACAATTGATAGACAACTATTAATTTACAGGTATAACCCAAGGTGTTCAAATTTTTCAGGGTGATTATGGGTTCCTACAACAATTTATGTTGAAATATTTTATACTAAATTGGTGCTCTTACCAATTAAATTGATTGTATGTTACTAATCAAAACAATTTTATAGTACAATTTTTTTTAACTTATATTTAAAGAATTAGTATGTGCCTTAATTATAATAATTTTTAAGTCAATATGAGATAAGATGAGGGTAGTTCCTTAATAACATTAAATTATTCAACTAATTTTTTTTTAGTTTTGAACTTCTAACTAAAATTTATTGTTTTAAATAATTAAAAAATATTATGTTTTTGTCTGATTTATTTGTGTACAAAATAAACCAAAAAAAAAACAATAGGGATGAATTATGTTTTAAATATATAAATAGACTGATAATATAATAAGACATTTATAAGCTCTAATTGCTCATTAGTAAATTAAGTTATATTTCTATGTATATAGTTGATCTTTTTTAGTACAATGCTCATTAATTTTTTTACACACCTAATTTTTTTTTTTTCTTGATATTTATTAAATATTTTGATACAATTTTTGTTTTGTTTCCGTTAAATGAATTATGCATGAACTATATATATATATATAAGTTTTTTTTTTTATTATTTATTAAACTAATTTTATAAATTGTCATTTCCTTTTGAACATGTATTATTATTATTATTGTATGAAATTACATTTAAAGCAAAGTGTATTTGAATTATTTTTTATTTGATGTATTTATGTTCAAATATTTAAAAATATTTATGTGTCTCTTAACTTGCATGAACATTAACTGTGTTGGAAGTTGACGGTGCCATTAATCATTATACAAAATGATTTTTTAAATATGATATTTACAATTTTTTCATTAAATAATGATTTTTAATAAATATTTTTATTTAATTTCAACCATCATAAATATCAAGATAATTAAAAAAAAAAAACTATTAAATAAAAAATATTTTTTATAAAATTATTATTTTTATTTATTTTATTTAAATATTATAAATATAATTATTTTTATTTAATTAAAATGAATTAATATAACATTATACCTAAAAAACATTAAAAACAAAAATTACATAATAAAAGTTATAAGATAAGTGATTTGATTCTGAAATATTCCACTGGACACTGAATATTCTGATTTTAAAATCTCATAACTTTAATTTTCTATTTTGCTTACTGATGTCAACTCAGAGGCGATTTAAAAAAAAAATTTAGGGGATGTGGAGTGAATTTTTCCAATTGTCGATGATAAATCTGCGGACTAAATAAGTAAAAAAAAAGTCTATTATATATACTAATAATACTGACTACTTATGACAATTAAACGTTTGGGAGGTGTGGTACTCTTTTATATATTTTAAATCGTCCCTAGGAAAGCTATTTCTTATAATTATGTTTTTCCTTTCTAGTAAATATATAAATTATATATAATTTACACGTGAATATTATAAATAAATATATTTTTTTATTTTAAACGATCCGTATGAAACTGTAAGAACATTTATTACTATGTTCTACCACTTATATTACAAACGTTTTATTTCTATTTATTTAATTCGTAATACATAATAATTAGCGTAGAGGGAGATGCTGATGTGACAATTCTACTCGTCTGTAGGCCGGAGCTACTGACGTCGAACTAACAAAGGCCAGTTGTGTTTGAGTGGCCGTTATAGACATAGTTTTCAATATTATTACTCTCGTCTTATTTATATTATTTATAACTTAACTTGTTTTATTCAACGACCCGTCTATCGCCAATTGTCATCATAGCCAAATAACTGTCTCACTTGGGTATACCTACTAACCAACTGTACTAGGATTCAGGTCAGACGTTTTGTACATTACATATAACTTACCATACCTAAACTAAATGTTCAAAAAATTTTGCGTTCACAACAGGTACCAGCTTTTAAAATTTATAAAAATACCTAGTATAGGTAAGCTTTTAATAGTAATCTCATCCGATTTGTTTGGTTTTTCAGATAATTTTATCGAGTAGTGTTCTATGGCTTTATTAAGTGTTTATTTCTTTATCATCGTATAATAAATTGTAACAAAATATAATTTAATAAATTAGATTGTAATGTCACAAATTCGAAGGTGGACCGTTTATAATTTTTTGTTATGTCTACTTATTTCTTTTAATGCACAAGAGAATGCGCGAATGAACCTTTTTCTGATACAGCGGTGTCAACAACTCATTATTTTTGACGCTGACCGCTAGATAAGGCGACAAAAAGAGAATAAATATAATTAAAATCGAATTGTTTATCGGTATTGACCCCTCCCAAAAAGACCGGCCGTTATCGATTTGAAATTGCTGTTAGATCGGTATTGCATCCTTCTTCTGTCATTAACCGTTCTAAAGAACATATATTTGTCGTTTTTTTGTATCAATATTTTCAATGATGGAGGAGAGCCACGAACGGCCAGGTTTTTTCGCGCGAAGCATCCAGATCATCGGATGGGTCTCTTTGGGGACCGGGTATCGTTTTCCTTTTTATAATTATACTTATGTAATAAGCTGTATTTTATTTTATTATAAATGAACTTAAGTTTATTTATGTGTGAAGAACACGTGTTTCCTTTTTCTTCTAGCCAACGCTAAGGAGCGAGTATCCAGACCGCTCCTGGTGATTTCATTAATTTCCATTCAACATTAACGGATGTATTCCAATACCGTGTATTGTGTATGAGCTCTATTGTCTTATGATTTATTGTTTGCAATTTTCCCCGACCCTACATAGCAGTTTTAATTATTAATTTTGAGACTAAGATAATCTCTAGTAGTACTTGTACTTTTGGATAACCTAATATTATCTACTCGCAAATAAAATTTATTTTTGATTACCAAAACTGATTTTATTTTACTTTTCAGTAAAATTTATGGGAATTTTCTAATGAAATCTATATGAAAAAAATTCCTTATCTTTTCTTCATAAACAGAGATGTATTCAGAAATTTGGCGTCCAAGTGCTAATTTCCCCCTCACACCCAAATTTTTTTTGACTTTTTTCCCCCAACAAGCGTATACTTAACATACTTTAAGACGTTTAAATAACAATTACACATAAAAGGACTTGCTTCCACTAGAAGTTAAACAAAAGTTAGTAAAAAAAGAAAGCAGAGTTTAAAATTTAAAAATTATGTCATTTTTATTTATTAGTCACAAATACAAAGTGGTTTATTAACTATCCACTAATTATAAAACAAATATTTACAATTCACATTATTTTTTTACGAACTTTAGAGGAACTATACTCATCTATTATATCATCATACTCTAAACTTTTTGTGATGTCTGATTCAATATAGCTATACTGTTCAGTCAATCATCAGTCATTCTCGACCGTAAATAATTTTTGATTCGTTTTAAAGCACTAAATGATCGCTCTGAAGAGCAGTTTGATATAGGACAACAGAGATACATTCGTAGAGCAATATTTACATAAGGGTATATGTCTTCAAATCCTTCATTTTTAAGTCTTAGACGCATCTCTATAATGGATTTTGGTAATTGTTCTTTAGGCAAAGTAAGTAAATGGCTACGAAAGTGGATATATTCGTTTGGAAATGATAAATCCAGATATGCAAATATTAATAAAATAATCCCTAAAATTAGGTATTAATTCTTACTTTTGTGAATGAACATTTTTACTATAAGGAGGCAGATACTCTCAGTTATTATTCAATAGACATATTTTAATTTTTAATGAACATAATGTTATTACAAAACAAAAATTTATTAGTCATTCGAGATTTGTCTGTTATTAATATTATAATTGAGTATTTGTAGTTTACTATTTTCACAAAGTGTTATTTTTTTGTAAAAATTCGAATTGTCAAATAATAATGATAATCGTATAATATAGAACACAATAAGTTATATAAGTGATAACCGTATAAACAGTTTCGCCATAATACTGTGAATATATCTGATATCTGAATCAGTTTTCTGTAGATAATTCTCCTTTGTATGATAACTAGTAAGAGCACGGTTTCAGACAAGAACTATAAATACAGGGTTGTATCTGCCACTTTTATCAATAGAACCAAAGTCCAATCTCAGAATATTATTGATAAAAAAAAATTAACTAATTTATATTATTGTTTATTAACAAAAGAAAAAATTCCGCCCCTAAATAAATGCCACCCGGAGCAATCACCCTCTCTAGCCCCCCCCCTAAATACGTCACTTTTCACAAAGCAACATTATAAATTACGCTATGTTTAATTTAGGAATGATTTTATTTGCTAAGTGGGCTCATAGCAACGACGCACATGACTAGTCGCGATAGCGACACTACATTTAGAGGGGCCACCTTGGACTTCCACAAATCCATTTAACAATATGTGTGCCTCACACGTACGGGCTGCATACATACAATACTATACGCAGGTTCAAAACTATCGAAATTAATAGTCGACAAGTGTTACACACATTTTATTTAAAACTCCCCCTTCAGTGACATTGTTACCTTTAGTCACTAAATCTAACAGGCAGTATGATTATTTTTCCTCTTCTGGTGGTTTTATTTATTGTATCTTCTGTTGTCCTAGTACTTCTAGTATATGTTGCACAACAGGTTGTGGAATAGGAACGGTAGGTACCTAAGAATAAATTTGTATGTAAGCGGTTCCACTTTGTCAAATAAAACTTTCTTTTCTCCTCTATCGAGTTTAAGTGTAAAAATCTTGTCCGTTCTTTAAATTACTTAAAATGATCCATCATATAATCCTCTTAACAGTTTTTCCTTACAAAAACATATGAACAGTCTTTTAGGTCTTTAATCATAAATATCTTCTTTTTATCATGAAATGATTTCACCGTATTGTGTACTTATGAAATCAAATAAACCAAATGTCGTGTTTACCGCAGTTTTTGAAATATCTGCATTATTTAATTTTGAAAATGGAGCTGTAAATGATAGGTTTTTTTTTAATATGTGCAATAACATTGTGCATACGGTGTATCTTGTATAGTCTTGATGGTAATTATTGAACTTTCTACAGACAAGAATTCTCAAAAAAGCATACTAGTATTGTATACATTTTTTTTGTTTTTCAAGTCTACCAATATTCCAAAATTTTGTAGGAAGTCGGCATCTGTTATTGGTTTTATTTCTTCAACTATTTTAAAAGTCCAATTAAAAAGAGTCCTAGATTTTATGATGTTTTTATACCTTAGATCTTAATGTGTGTGAAGTCGGTGGATCACGACCCTTGGGGGAAACCCTATAAGGTCGTGATGCGCAAGCTGCGCGGCCCACCGACTTCGGGGCAACTGGAGGCGGAGACGTTGGAACAGACGGTCCACGCGCTGTTCCCGATGCATCCGCCTCTTCCACCCCTGGGAGACTGGCCGTCCGTCGGAGACGACGTGACCACCGTCGAGGATTTCACCCGAGAGGAGATATCCGCTGCGATAGCAAGAGTTCGGGGAAGAAACACCGCGCCCGGTCCGGACAGGATACCGAACCGGGTGTGGGGTCTCGTCCACGACCTCGCACCGCAGTAGTTAGACACCGTCTTGAACGTGTGTCTCCGCGAGGGTGAAATCCCGCCCCGGTGGAAGAGGGCGAGGTTGGTGCTCTTGCGGAAAGGAGACAAGCCCGAGGGAGTCCCCTCGTCGTACCGGCCTCTCTGCATGCTGGACGACGTGGGGAAGATCCTCGAGCGGCTGTTGGCCACCCGCATAGAGCACCACCTGACGACGGTCGGTGGGCTGGCGGACGGCCAGTTCGGGTTTAGGAAAGGGAGGTCGACGGACGACGCGGCCTCCCTGTTCCAGCAGTTGGTCGTTAGGACCGAGAACGCACCGGGCTTCTGCGTTACGGTGAGCCTGGACATCCGGAACGCTTTCAACTCCGTGCGATGGTCACACATCCTCGGAGCGT